AATATTATTTATTTATATATATAAATAATTTTATTCAATTAATTAGAAAAGGGAAGCTATTTACTATTTTGATAAAGCATTGGCAATAGACCAATTGCATGTGAATTAATTGTATGGAAAAAGTAATTGACATATAAGTTATAAAAGGTGGATGCTTATTAATAATAAGTAATTCAAATAATTAAATAAGAATTATGAATTTATTTTATTAATTGCTCTAACGTTTGGAAAAACATGTGAATTCATTGTTTGGAAAAGGTCATGTTTTTTAAATTTTTTAGCTTTTATCTTATTAAAATATAACTAATATGAAAACGCTTATTCTTTGTATAATTTAGCAAAATAAATCAGGGAGAATAAATAACTCAGTGATGTATTTTAAGTAATTTATTCAAATTAATTAGCCAAATGCGCCGATAAAATACAAAAATAATGATAAATAAATTTGCCAGTTTAACAATTTTTGTTATTATTTGAAACATAGCATTATATTTCAATCCTTTTTATACAATTTCTTTTTGTAAATAAATTTTTTATCTATTTTTCTGTTTTTCTCAATAAAAGTTTTGTATAACATTTATTTGAGCCGTACAATATTATTTTCTTTATCCATTAAAAACTAGATTCTTTAACATGATTTTGGAGAGGTTCAGGCAGAAAACCAAAATAGAGTCATCCATAGGTCCCTCCAAATTCATGCATATTCAGTTTTACAGAAGGGATAAAAAATTAAAATACCTCAATTTATCATAAAATCCATCATCATTATTTCAAATAAATATCTACACCAAGTCTTCCAAGATCTATCTTTAAACAACTTACCCCTTTAAGTCTTCTAATATACTATATTTATCTTACTCTCACAGCTATAATACAACTCGATCCAGCTCTGATCTATTAATTCCTTCCTGGCTTTCTCCTTAAGTTCCTTCTCAAAATAGATAACAGACTCATTCCGTTTAAGCATAAAATGTTCCTATTACATACACGAAACACTTGATTCTGCCCCTGGTTTCTTATAATTCTAACTCTTCGAAATTTCTTTATTTACTTTAATCCAATTAATCCTCACAAAATTAACTCCTTCTTCCTATATTCTCTATAAAAACTATCCAAGCTCTCAAATTAAGCCATATTCAAACTAAAAAATAATGCAGCCACTGACTATCATCCATGATAAATGAGGATACTAAAAAAATTTATAATCCTCCTATTTATTAATTATCAGTGGTTTTGTACAAGAAAAATCTTAGCAGCTGTTTTTACCGATTCTATTTCTAAGAAATTCCTTTAGTTTTTAATCATCCTCTTGCCAGCATTAAATAGGAAAAAGTTATTACGCTTAAGAATTGTCTTTTTATCAATCAACATATATTGCTATGCTATTTAGATAGGAAAAGACCTTTCTTAAAGTATCTTTTATGATTATTTACAAGTGATCCTGTTATTAATTCTCCTATTTTTTCCATTCTAATAGCTCATCTAATAGTTTGATGATTTATTATAAATACCTAAATTTAGTGATAAAAGAAACGCATATAAATATTCTATTCTTAAATTTATACTGATTAATTTGGACACCTTTTATGTTAAGGCTTCGCTTTATTTTCTCTTATATCTTAAAAATTATTCTTGGCTTGTTAAATTGTTGATCTATCCCTTTAATTATATATTAAATAATTTAATTTTCTTAATATTTTTTTTTCTGTTAAGAGTAACTAATTTCATTTGAAGGTCAAAATAGATAAATAATTATTAGGTGAAAAATGATAAAGATTTTGATTTTTAATTAACTTTACCTAAATGCTAGTTTAATTTATGCAAAATGTGATAAATTTTTAAACTCAATTCTTTTTTCTTATATTTTTCACATTATTAACAATGCCAGGATGATTTTATTTTAATAGATCTTTTACCTAATTTATGATAGATGATGCTTTAAAATTATTTTAATTAGTTCTAGTAGATTATCTGATATATAGCAATAATGAATTATTTAAATATTTACTTTATCTACGCTTCTCCGATTGTATGAAATTAATTTATAAAGATCAATTAAATTATAAATTAACTAAACATAAATAATTTTATGTATGTATATGTGTATTTTAATCAGTCATATATTAAAATTATTTGATAAATTTGAATGAACTAAATATTAGAAAACTAACTTAGGAAACTATGAATACCAACTTTTGATCAGAAAACATTTATATTTTAGTTTAGCTTTGGTATATTTTTATGATTTTTTATTGAAAAGCAATCAATAACTAGTAAGGAAGAATTAAAAAGAAAATGCTATTTTAAATAAAATTATATGTTCTTTAAAAAATAAAACATATTGTAAAATATGATTTTAATTGTAATAAAAGATATAATTTAAATAAAGTAGTAAAAGATTAAATTTAAATTCCTAATGCAGTTTCATAACTTAATAACAAAAAAAAGTAATAAAATATAGTTTCTTTTATATTTCATTTATATAATATCTCATATGATGAGTATTTTTCGTATTTATTATCCCAAAATACTAAATATTATGCATTATTGGTCATTGTTCCATAAGATTCATGAGTTTAACAATTTAATTATGCAAGAATTTTAAATGTGCCATCGTTTAATTGTCTAATTAAATAGATATGATATTTGTGTCTTATCAATATCACATTTCTATCTTTATTATGTATAATTGGAAATAATATGTCATCATCACATTGATCATTGTTAATAAAAGTGATAGTTTTATTTAAATTCTATTTAAAGATTCCATTCTATAATTCAAATACTAAAATATCATTTATTTACTCATCTAATGTTACCCAAATAAATTATTAATCATTTATGAAATGTATTTTATATCCATCATATTAAACATCTTATTTATATTTTAATTACCATTTTCCTTATAATCCTTACTCCCATATTATAAATTCATGATAACCACATGATGCCAATAAAGTTTCAGATTAATTAAAACTGAGTGATTCAACACTATTACTATGATTATCTAGAGAATACAGATAAGTCAGATGAATCTTCATAAAATCTACTTACCATACTATTATTTTATTATCACCCCCTCCTGAAATAAGTTGATCCTCCTATTTATTTAATATTAAACAATTAACACTATTTTTATGTTATTCAAATGGTTATGAGCATTTCCACTCATTTTCATTAATTTATTGCCAACAGATAATTTTATGATCATCACAACCAGAAATAAAGTTATTTGTCTTTTTGCTATACACCAAACAATAAATAGCACTAGTATGTTCATTATAAGAATTAGATAATTGAAATCTTCCTTATTCAAAATTCGAAATTTCAATTATATTAGAATTAGCTGTAATCATAATTGATCCATCTTTATTGAATACCATTGCGTAACATTTTGAAATCTATTAATTTGAATCATCAATTAATTAAAATTGAACTTATTCATACATCATCAATTATTATTCTAATTAATTCTATTTATTCTCAACTTAAATCACTTCCTTTTATTTCTATATAATAACTTAATACATTTTACTTCATTCTCAATACTATTAGATTATTTAATTTACTGATATTAAGAATCAATCTCCTTATTTAAAATATTTTTTTCTTTATTAGATTCCTCCTCTTCCTCAATTATTTTCTATTTAAAGTTAATTTAAGTACCTTTTACTCTTTAATTTCGATTTTATTTTTGATTATCTTATTAGCCAAAGGATTCAAACTCTCAAGAATTTGTTATGTAGAATCAAATTCTGAGATTGAAAATTCAGGAAATTAAGGTAATTTAAGTTTAGATTCAATTTTGTGAGTCACGTATTTAAAGGGAATAAGAAAAATAGAGTCAATAAATTCATCAATCTCAGCAAAAGAAGACTAGAAAATAATAGAAAATGAAAATTACTTCTATTTGACACCCTATTTCCAAGAAGCTTTTTTCAATTTTAGACATTGTGTATTGGATGATTAATGATGAGGAGGATTGTTGAGCTTGCATAAATTTATATGATATTTCAATTATGTTTTTAATAATTGGAAATATTTAACATATACTTATCCCTAGTTTATATAAGAAATTTATAAATAATAGAATAAGATAGTTTGAAATTAAGAAATCTTGAAATTTTTTTTTATTCTAATATCAAAAATGATCGGATTGTTTATTGAATAGATTTTTTGTTTAGATTCAAGCTCAATTTATTATATGATTCTTTTTAATTGTATAATTAATAAAACTAGATACCTAATGTAATTGAATGAAAAAAAATATAACATTAAGTTAATTTATAAGATTAACTAGTTTTGATATTAGAAAATAAAGTATAGGCAAAAAGAATAATCACACTGTTTTACAAATTTTATAAAACTAATATATTATTTTAGATTTTAAACAGGAATGAGATATTAAAATAAACATAGGAGATAGCAAATTGTTATGTATAAAAGAACCTTCCCTTTTACTAATTGAGAAGGCTGTAATATTTAAAGTTCAAATTTTAATATTTTCTAATCAATTAGATTAATTGTTAACTAAATATAATAGAGTCATGAGGGTTGGCTTATTATAATAATTATAATTGTTTGAATAAAGAAACTGTAAATATTAATCTTTTTTGTTAATATTTGATGCTAATAGTTATAATTAATATTAATGAATGAGTTTGGAACTTTTATTATAATATGATAAATTTTAGAAAAAAGTATTTTTTTTAATCGATGATTTTAAAGTAAGGGAAACAAACTAAAAGTTATTAAGTAAACTCTGAAATTATTTGATTATGGCAGTTTATTATAATTAAATGTATACAAATAATTTAAGCTATTAATTTACTTGAATTCAAGAATTTCCTCATATTTTAAATATTAAATTGTTTTAGAATATAGAATTAAATGCATTCTTGTTAAATACCAGCAATTTGAAACAGACGATAATCATTCTATATTTATAATTTTATTAAAATTACTACTTTATTAATTTGACAAAAGATTAGTAAATAGGTTGCATATTATAGTCAAGGAATTTAAACCTCCAATAATACTATCAGAGGTTTAAAGGGAATCATAATATAATTAACTATAAACTGAATATGGCACGAAAAAGGAAGAAGTTCATATAAATATTTAAATACATTTAGAAAAATAAAGTATTAGACTAAAAGAATAAAATAGTTCACATTATCCAAATTGAAAAAAGGTCAACTTATATATAGGAGTAAAGAAGATAAATTATTCTAAGTTTTTATTCTATATTAAATTATCAATCAAGATGCTCTTAATATATATTGAAGTTATGAATATTGTGGCGATAAAATCAAACTTCAAAAAGTTAAAAACTGATATTTATATTTTGAAATTTAATAGGGATAATTAATGATAATATATCATAAAAGGAATATTTAATGATGTTCTACAATTAGGTGAGACCAAAAGAAGAAATTAAGAAGATATATTATAATAAAACTCATGCAATTTATAGATATTGTGAATATCATATTTGCATAGTTATTTTAGAATGGATTATTATTTCAATAGTATCCTTTTGTTTATATTTTATATTTATTATAATTTTTATATTAACTATTTTTAAATTTTAATTCATGGTTACAATTAAAATAATGATAAAAAGTTCTGGAAGACGGTCTGATTCGGAGCAATAAGCAGTATATCATCCTAGATTTAAAGCCTTTGATAGAATCCAGGATTTTAGTTGAACATATGATAAGGATGGTTTTTCAAAAAGGTGCAAAGGATGATCTGATTTAAAAGTATTATAGTTAAGAAAGAAAATTGAAGGAATATCAGAAGTCAATGAGAAGAAGAAATTATAGAGAAAAGAATGGTAGATCTTATATGTTTGACTGTTACTAAATTAAGTACCATACGGATGAAACTTAAGCAAAATATAATATTTTAGACGCCTACTTTGTAGTAAATCTAAAAAATTGAATAAAGGAAGAGATTTTTGAAAGAGACAGAATTTAACAGAAAGCGAAATGATGAATTAAATTCTAATTCTATCAGAAATTAGAATATTTAAGAAATTAAGTAAACTTATTGTTCATAAATGGAATGCAATTCCAGGTAAGGAACTTATTATTATCTATATAAAAGGGATATTAATATATCAATTGTTGTTAAATGAAGATAAATATCTACCTAATATATTATTTATTAGTTCATGAGAATGATGAAGAATATACTTTATAAATTTGGAGAAATAAGAGTATAAATGGTAAGGAACTATTGGATAAAGCAAATTAAGAATGTAAAGGCAGATCCTTGGGGAATCGGGGAAATAATTTAAGGAATAAGAGAAACAAAGAAAGGAGGATAATCAAACATCGTAAAGAAGATAATAATGTTGATTTAGGTATTTTAGAATTAGAAGATGCTTATTTGACCCAATGAGATATTCTAATTTGAAGGTGCTTTCATAATAAGATGTAGTAAGACGATATATCTACTACTATGTAAGAATATAAGAGAATGAAATATGAAAGCATCATCTATAATAATTTAATTTTAAGGAAAGTAATCTAATTAATTTAGATCATTTGTGATCAAGAGAACTAATAAAGAAGGAATTAAAAATTAATTACATATATATATATATATAATTAATT